AAGACCAGCCTGGGCAACACAGCAAGATCCCATCTCTACAAAACAGTTTTTAAAAATTAGCTTGGCATTGTGGTATGTGCCTGTAGTCCCAGTTACTCAAGAGCCTGAGCCAGGAGGATAGCTTGTGCCTGGGGGTCGGAGGTTGCAGTGAGCTGTAATCACACTACTGCACTTCAGCCTGGGCACCAGAGCTAGAACTTTTCTTAAAAAAAAAACAAAAACTAAAACTAAAACCTCTTGCAATTTTACTAACAGCAAATCAATACGTTAAGAAAACCTTGTTCTAACATAGGCTACCAAATATTTTTAGTTTTTTTAAATATCAAAGCTCAATCTTTTTGTTTTTTGTAAGGGTTGAGGTCTGGCTACGTTGCTCAGGCTGGTCTTGAACCCCTGGCCTCAAGTGATCCTACTGCCTCAGCCTCCCAAGTAACTGGGACTACAGGCATATACCAATGGCACCCAGCTCAAATCTCAAATCTTTAGAAAACCTACAAATAATCTTGTAATTATAGCTGACTTAATCACATGCAAAATGTTTTTCATAAATTTTTTCCCATAAACCTTAATCATGACTTAGACCACTGACAACATTCTTGAACTTTCTGCTTTGTTCTGTATTTCTTAAATAACCATTTTATATTTAGACAAAAATTTACTACACAAGATTATTTCTCATAAAATTATTCATTTTTCTTTTTAACCTTCCTCACCAAAAATATATCTTCATATCTGTAACTTTCTTCATATCTCTCCTACTTATTGGTTCCTTTCTATCTCGTTCCATATTTTGAAACAACCTTTAAATAACTTCCAAAATAGACAAACTTATTCTTTTTTAAACAACAGATTTTTATGCCCTTGTAATGATTTTTTTTTTTTTGAGACAGAGCCTCACTCTTTTGCCCGGGCTAGAGTGAGTGCCGTGGCGTCAGCCTAGCTCACAGCAACCTCAAACTCCTGGGCTCAAGCGATCCGTCTGTCTCAGCCTCCCGAGTAGTTGGGACTACAGGCATGCGCCACCATGCCTGGCTAATTTTTTCTATATATTTTTAGTTGTCTGATTAATTTCTTTATTTTTAGTAGAGACGGGGTCTCGCTCTTGCTCAGGCTGGTTTCGAACTCCTGAGCTCAAACAATCCGCCCGCCTCAGCCTCCCAGAGTGCT